GCACGGAAACCCGACACCGTGTGGATGACACAGCGCCTACATCCAACACGCACGGAAACCCAAGACCGTGTGGATGCACACGGCACCTACATCCAACACGCACGGAAACCCGACACCGTGTGGATGCACACAGCACCTACATCCAACACGCACGGAAACCCGATACCGTGTGGATGACGCAGCACCTACATCCAACACGCATGGAAACCCAAGACCGTGTGGATGCACACAGCACCTACATCCAACACGCATGGAATCCAGTCTGTGCAAGAGAAACAGACACTGATGATGAAAATCTCAGCAGACTGTGAGGAGCAAGACAACATCGTAGGTGAATGTGAAATAAGCAGAGAGGAGAAAGACTGAGGGGCAGGCAGCGCGGGACAGAGCTGAGGCGCCCCAGCATCCTCGTGGGCACCCCTTGCAGCCCGAGCCCATCCTACCTGCACCCGTGGACCCCACGTCCCATGGCAGGCTGCGGGCATCTCTTAGAGAAGCAGATGGACCCTGGAAACAGAGCAGCGAGAGGTTCCGCGGTGTGTGCAAGCCCCTCTTCCTGGTTCAGGACCCCCAGTCTCCCCACCCGGCCGTCCTAGACAGCTGGAGACTTAGGGGTGGGGAGCCCAGCCCTGGCCCTCCCCTGGCTCCCTCGCTCTGTGACTGAGCCCCCTGGGTCTGCCGATCACCTCTGCCATGCCCTTCCCCACCTTCTCTCCACCTCGGAAGGTGGTCAGCCCATCCTGCCACCTTGCAATGGCTGTTCCCCCTGCCTGGATGCCCTTCCCCGCACTGTTGTCCCAGGCAGCTCCTATTCACCAGTCAGGGCCCCGCCCAAATGCCGCTTCCTCAGGGAAGCCCTCCGACCTCCCTACAGAGTCCAGGTCCCTGTGGACATCCTCAGTGCCTCCCTGGTGGCCTTATCAATGCTGTGATTAAATCATTAGCGTATTTATTCAGTGTCTGAGGGTAGAAGTCGTGTCTGAAATGCCACCTCGTCTGATGTGTCCAGAGTAGGCTGGGCAGATAGACGGCGCCTCATTGTGAGTGAGATAGTGAGAGAGAGAGAGAGTCTGTGAATGAGTCTATGAGTGAGTGAGATCGTGAGTGAGACAGTGAGTTGGTGAGTGAGTGAGTGAGTGGGAGTAGGCCCAGCAGATACATGGCGCCCCATCATGAGTCTGTGAGTGAGACTGTGAGTCTGAGTGAGATCGTGAGATTGTGAGTGAGCGAGATCATGAGTGAGTGAGATTGTGAGTCTGAGTGAGTCTGTGAGTGAGTGAGATCGTGAGTGAGACTGTGAGTCTGAGTGAGATCGTGAGATTGTGAGTGAATGAGATCATGAGTGAGTGAGATCATAAGTGAATGAGTGAGTGAGATCATGAGTGAGCGAGATTGTGAGTCTGAGTGAGTCTGTGAGTGAGTGAGACCGTGAGTGAGTCTGAGTGAGATCATAAGTGAATGAGTGAGCGAGATCGTGAGTGAGTGAGATCGTGAGTGAGCGAGATCGTGAGTGAGATCATGACAGATTGTGAGTGAGATCGTGAGTGAGATCACAAGTCTGTGAGGGAGTGAACGAGTGAGTGAGTCTGAGTGAGATCGTGAGAGAGATCATGAGTGAGATCGTGACTGAGATTGTGACTGAGATCGTGACTGAGATCGTGAGTGAGTGAGATCACAAGTCTGTGAGGGAGGGAACGAGTGAGTGAGTCTGAGTGAGAGAGAGACCCTCCTCTAGGATCAAGGGGAACAGGAGCAGAAAGAAGAGCTGGAGGAAGGCCCATGAGACCAGCAGCTTGGGCATCCCTGCCCCCGTCCCCACGAGGCAGAGGCTGACCTGGCCGAGGACCGTGAGGGCGCAGGGCTGTGTCAGGGCCAGCCGGGAGTCCACCAGCCCGCCCGGCGGCGGCTCCTTCCCCGGGACGCTGTTGTAGTAACTGTGCTCCACAGCCTCCTCCTCGTCCCCCCAGGCCGACTCCTCTGGCCCCGCCAGCCTGGGGGACAGACAGCAATGGCCGTGGCACAGGCAGGGCCCAAGGGGGCTAAACCCCCACAGCTTGAGCTTCTAGGGGAGCAGGAAAGGCCTGAGTTCGAATCCCAGCCCCCCGCCTGTCGCTGAGGGTTCCCACCAGGAAACGCTTCGAGAGCGAGTGACCAGGCCCACTACGTCCTCGTCTCTGAAATGGAAAGCTGCACACATTTCCAAGCTGTAGCACAAAAGGCAGGACGTTGGCAAACCCGGTCTCCACTCCTTTCTGCCCATCTCCGGCGCCGCCCGGCAGCAGAGGGCAGGAGCCAAGTTTATACCCAGAACCAGGACATCGCCAGTCAGGGTGGTAACTCTCTGGGATCAGAGTGCCCCCGCCCTCCGGCCCGGAAGGCGCTGGCGGGCTCCTCAGCAAGCACGGCCCGAGAGCCAGAGGGGCACATGCCGCCTGGCCCACAATCGCTGCTGGGATAAACCACGGGGCAGCCTACAGAAGGCAGGGGCAGCTCCAGAGGCAGGCGAGGAGCCTGTCCCAGCGTCGGAGCGCGCCGAGCAATGTGCGTGGAGCACGCCGTCCTGTGCACAAAGGGGTGAGCGTGAGCACGCGTGACCAGCAGGGCTGGGAGCTCACGGGGCACCTGCCCTCTGACCGCTGGAGGAACGTGACTTTCTAATGATGAATAGAGACTTAAATGCCTCCTTCTCCGAGGCCGGCTGGCAAACCCCAGCCCAGGGCCAAATCCAGCTGACTGCCTAGATCTGTGTGTCCCACAAGCTAAGAATGGGCGTTCAGCCTCTAAATCATCAAAGTTAAGTGTTTGAGAAAACATCCAGAGAATCATATTTTGCGACACGTGACATTCACACTTCAACATCTATAAATAACGTGTTACCAGCACACAGACACGTCCCCCCCTTTACACATCTTCTGCGGTGAGACAGAGGCCGTTGAGCCGGCCGCGCGTCTGGAGGAGGGATGTTGGTTATAGCGGCAGGGCTGACAGCCTCGGGCACACCGGGGAGTCAGCTCGCTCAGTCCTCCCCAGTCCTGGGGGCAGGGATGCATTTACCCGGGTGTTACAGCCGAGGAAACAGGATCCTCTGGCCGAGCCACATTCTCAGGGGACAGGGAGGGAGGGACAAGGGCAGGACAGAGGCTGAGGCCTGCAGGAGGTGGAGCCGGCTCTGCACCCGGGCAGGTCGCTGGGGGCGTCCCCAGGGCATGGGGGAGGCGGGTCTGTTACCTTTCTGGGGGCAGTGCCACCTTGGGTGGGCTGTGCAGGTACTGCTTGAAGCGCAGCTCGAAGGCTTGGCCAACGGTGCTGATGACGCTCTGGGCCAGGCCCTCACAGCACTCCAGGATGTGGCAGGCTGTGGGGGCATTGGTCATGCGGCCTCCAAGCCACACGGCCATGCCCCCCGGCCACGGGACCCCCACCGGCCTCCCCGGGGAGCCTCACCTCTCTGGTTGATGGGGTCCTTGGCGACGTAGGCCACGTAATCCGTCATGTCCTGGGGACGGGGAGGGGCCAGCTGGACCTGCCTGGGCCCCCCACCGGGATTCCCAGCCGCCCACCCCAGCAATGCAGACAGATGGGGCAGTGGATGTGGGCACAGGGTACGTTAGGCGGGCTCTGGGGAAGGGCGCGAGGGTCTCGCGGCCGGAGGGGGTGGTGGGGCTGCAGGTCCACCCCCATCCCTGGCCTCACCGTGTCTCCGCCCGATGCGAAGGAGATGGATGGCATGTGGTGGTTTGCGATGACCTGTGGGGGCAGGAGGCACACGTGGTCATGGGGGCCCCGCTTCGAGGGCAACTGTACCAGGGCCACAGCGAGGAAGGGGGCAGGGGCAGGGATGTGGGGATGGAGACGTCCCCTGGACAGGCACCCACTGCAGCCGGGTCCTGGGTCAGCCTAGACGACCGAGGCTGGGATGTGGAGGCTCCAGCAGGACGGGACTAGGGCACTACGGGATGTGTGGGGTCCGCAGGAGGTCACATGGGAATGTGAGTGACAGGACAAACCACCCCCACTGCGACACCACACATGCACCTGCCCAGACGCTCACACACACACATCCCATGCCCCACACACGTGCACACACACACACACCCACACACCCGAAGCAGCCGTGGGAGGGCTGGACCCACACTCCTGATTCCCTTGTCCACGTGCAAGGGCACCTGTGAGTGCATTTGCATGCTCATCTGAATGCTCATTTGCATGCTTGTGTGCTTATTTGCATGCTCGTTTGTGTGTTCATCTGCATGCTCATTTGTGTGCTCATTTGTATGCTTCTTTGCATGCTCATTTGCACGCTCATCTGCATGCTTGTTTGTGTGCTCATTTGCGTGCTCATTTACATGCTTGCATGCTCATTTGCGTGCTTCTTTGCATGCTCATTTGCGTGGTCCTGCTTCATTTGCTTCCCGTCACTCAGATCTCTCTAGGCCCGAGTGAACTCCCACTACCAGCCACGTCCTGAGTCCTCCCTACAGAACATCCACTCCTCAGCCCCCATAGGGACCCTCGAGGCTCTCCCCTGGCCAACCCCGGCCCAGCCAGGAGGGTCCGCTCGGAGCCTCAGTGTCCTGTCCGAATCGTGGTCAGGGGTCCGTGCCTCGCAGGGTCGGGGCAGAGATGGAAACTGCGTGGAAACAGCCCTCAGCCACCCCCAGCCAGCTCCATCCTTCTCTAGCCTCCTCCCTGAAGCCCCAGCTGACCCTCGCCGCCATCCGCCGCCCCAACGCCAGCCCAGGGACGCTGCCTCGCCCCCAACCCCTCACGATGACCCATGCTAACTTCTCCGACAGGGAGACGCCTCCTCTCTCAGCCAGACCTCCCTGAGACCCCCCTCCTCACCACCTCCCAGAGCCCTCCAGGAAGTCTCTCCCAGCACACAGAGCCCAGCACACGCTCAGGACACCCCTCGCCTGGCCTCACAATGCTTCCTAGAATCTAGTATTTCCTTCATTTCTGCAATCATGTTTTTTTGTTTTTCTGGTGTTTTGAGACGCTCTGTCACCCAGGCAGAGTGCAGTGGTACAATCTCGGCTCACTGCAACCTCCGCCTCCCGGGTTCAAGCGATTCTCCTGCCTCAGCCTCCCAAGTAGCTGGGATTACAGGCGCGCTCCACCTCGCCCGGCTAATCTTTGTATTTTTGGTAGAGTCGGGGTTTCTCCATGTTGGCCAGGCTGGTCTCGAACTCCTGACCTCAAGTGATCCGCCCACCTCGGCCTCACAGTGCTGGGATTAGGGCCGCCGAGCCCGGCCTGCAGCGATGCTACTTCTGCTGTTTGTTTCCCCCTGAGGACTGGTAGCCGGGTTTATCCCCCTCCCCCAGGCACCGTGGACGTTGGGGTGGACTACTCTCTGGGGTGGGGCGTCCTGGCCACTGCAGGGTGCTGAGCAGCGTCCCTGCCCCCACCCACTCCATGCCAGGAGCACCCCGGTGTCAGGACAGCTTGCCCAGGCGGGAGCCCCTGAACTGAGCCCCGTGAAAGCAGCGGCTGCACCCCCAGCTCCCGCTCAGCAGGGCCTCGGCTCATCTTTCCGGATAAACGTCACCTGCTGCCCACCCCCAGCACCCAGCCTGGCTTTGCCTCGGTGGTCCTAGGACTCCTGGCCCCTCTGGGGGTCTAGGGACGCTGGGGAGGAGGGCAGACCCACCTGGCGCGTGGCGGGCACGGAGAGGCTGAGGCCGTCGGTGGAGATGTGGATGGAGATGCTCATGCCGGCGAAGCGAAGGTTGCTCTTGCCCAGGACGGATGCCAGGGCCTTGTTGGGGGCCTGAGTTGGGGGCGGAGCACAGCGAGGGCGGCCATGGGTGGGGGCCGCCGAGGGGCTCCCAGGATGGCCGCAGCGTCCCCGCGGCTCCCGACTGCCCCACCGGCCCCATGAGAGACCACAAGCCTCATTCACCTTTTTCTTCCAGGATCCCCGGACGCCAGGCACGGCCTCGTGGAGCCGGTTGATGGCTTCCCTGGGGATGGGCGGAGGGGGCTTAGAGAGTGTGGTGGGGGTGGTCAGGGGGAGAGCTGGGGAGGAAGGAGTCAGAGGGGGCGGGGGTCTGGGGAGGGGGCAGGAGCTCAGAGAAGGGCGGAGTCAGAGAGGGGAGAGGAAGGCAGAGAGGCAGGAGATGGGAGAGGGTGGGGGCTGGGGAACCTGGGGGAGGAGTGCCCAGCAGGACAGGTCCAGCCCACCCCGTCTGCATCCTCGCATCTGGCAGATGCCCGGCCCCCAGCTCCAGCCCCTCTACCACCGTCTCTTTCCCGGGGACCAGCGTGTCCCTGGCCTCGGCCCAATAGGAAGGCGCGGGGTCAGATCTGGGGGTTGGGCCAGCGAGCAGGAGGCCCTGAGCCTGACCCCAGGCCCGTGTCCTGATCCTGTCTGCAGTGCCGGAGGAGTGACCGCTGCTCTGGAGGGCCCCTGAGTGGTGGCAGAAGCTGACCCCGAACGAGAGCGCCTCAAACCACTGGTCCCCAGGAGAAGTCAGAAAGTCTACGGGGTCCTGCAGGGGCCTCGGAAATGTCGGCGTCGTGGAGAAACCAGACTCCCCCGACCCAGGGCGCATGGGAATTTCCACGGCACGGCCGCTGTGGAAAACAGCCTGGGGACTCCTCAAAAGCTTAAAAATTGTCCGGGGCCGGGCGCGGTGGCTGAAGCCTGTAATCCCAGCACTTTGGGAGGCCGAGGTGGGCGGATCACAAGGTCAGGAGTTCGATACCATCCTGGCTAACACGGTGAAATCCCGTGTCTACTAAAAAATACAAAAAACTAGCCGTGCGAGGTGGTGGTGCCTGTAGTCCCAGCTACTCGGGAGGCTGAGGCAGGAGAATGGTGGGAACCCGGGAGGCGGAGCTTGCAGCGAGCTGAGATCCGGCCACTGCACTCCAGCCCGGGCGACAGAGCGGGACTCCGTCTCAAAAAAAAAAAAAAAAAAAATTGTCCGGGCGCAGCGGCTCCCACCTGGCATCCCAGCACTTTGGGAGGCCGAGGTGGAGGGATCACCTGAGGTCAGGAGTTCAAGACCAGACTGACCAACATGGAGAAACCCCATCTCTACTAAAAATATAACAACTAGCTGGGCGTGGTGGCAGGTGCCTGTAATCCCAGCTACTCAGGAAGGCTGAGGCAGGAGAATTGCTTGAACCTGGAGACAGAGGTCGCAGTGAGCCAAGATCTCACCACTGCACACTCCAGCCTGGGCGACAGAGTGAGACTCCGTCTTAAAAAAAAAAAAAGAGAATAGAAAAGAAAAGAAAGAAAAGGAGCGAGGCTCTGACCCAGGCCACTGCGGATGCAGCTTGGGAAAGTCACGCTCAGTGAGAGACGCCAGACACAGGAGGCCACGTAGCGCATGATCCTATTGCTATGAAATGTCCAGGACAGGCCGATCCACAGAGACAGGGAGGGGCTGGCTGGTGGGTGCCGGGGCTGGGGAGGGGACGGGGAGTGGCTGTGATGGGGACGGGGTGTTTCGGGGGTAATGAGAATGTTCGGAACCAGACAGTGGTGGTGGTCGTGTGACTGTGAAGATCCTAAAAAGCCCAGGTGAATCGTTTGATGCGGGAATTACATCTCACATACGCACGTGTAAACTACCCTACATAGGTTTTTTTAAGTCTATATGAATGGCATCAACTAGTTTTCACAGAAAAAAAGGGTGTCGCTCTCCTCCCTGCCTAAGCCCTGGTCATATCCACAACCCCTGAGATTCCTTTCCAGACACCGCACAGCATCCTGAGGTCACCGTGTGGAGAACAGAGACGCCGCTGGGCCCTGGTCCCAGAGGGAACCCGCCAGGCCCTGCACCCCCCGCCGTGCGGAGACGTGCCCCGCACCCTGCGAGCGACCGGTGTTCTTTCCATCTTAGAGGAGGACCGAGGCCTGCAGGGCCCAGTGATCGATGCCTGGCGTGGGGACAGGGCGGAGACGTGGCGTGAAGCGGGAGGGAGGTAGGAGGGCGCCGAGGCTGCGTCCTGGGGTCCCAGCACGGCTGTCACGGAGCCCATCGCTGCCGCCCTCCAGCGCCTCACACAGCCCTATGCGGCCAGGGCAGGGTTAGTAGCTCACCTGGTCACCTGCGTGCGTGTGTTAAAGTCCAGGGAGCGCATGGAGCGGAGGACCTCGATGCAGCCCATGTACTGAGGGGAGAGAACAGGTGTCAGACGCCATCGGAAACCCCGCAGTGGAGCCACGTCCCTTTTCCCCGCAGCCCTTCGCCTCCTCGGCCACCCCTGGGGTCGAGCCCTTTCCTCTGCCCCTGGTGGCTCCGGGGCCTTCCTGCCTCCCCCACCTCAAGGCCTGGACACTGTCCCGAGAGCCGCCCCCTCGAACTCCAGGCATGTTTTTCTCTGTTGCTGTTTCTCAGGGGCCTGGCGGTTCCCCCCGAGGCTCTATGGTGCTTGGTCCCTTAACCGTCTTGCCCTTGTCGGTCTCTTTCTGTTCAGCCAGCACCTAAGCCGAGGAGTGTGAGGACGGTGCGATCCCGAGCACTTCCCTATCTCCAGCGCCCAGCTCAGGGTCTGGCAAACAGTGGGGCGGACGTCCTGGCAGCCACAGATGCACACACTGCTGGCCTCGCCCTCCACAGGAAGTTTGTGGGCTCCTGGCCAAGACAGCCGTTTCCGTGAAACGGGAATTCACCGTCTCAACGACTCTGATGATACCGACGGACGAGAGGGGCAGAGGCGTCCCGCCGAGTCCCTGGCCTGCTTCAGTGCCGTGAAGGGTGGGGAGCAGGGCCAGGAGGCGAAGGCCACAGCATCCTTCCATCCCTGGCCCTTGCTGGTGGGAGGGGAAGGGGCACAGCCCACGTCATCTCTATGAAATGTCCTACAGAGGCAGCGAGAGGACGTGTGGGTGCCAGGGATCGGGGAGTGAAGGCTGATGGAAACACGTTTCCTACTGGGGTCATGAGCAATTCTGGAATTAGACAAAACGGGTGGTTGCACAATATTATGAATGTACTAAATGCTACTGAATTGTGAAAAATGCAACAAGCAAAATGATTAATAATGTTATGTGAAGTTCACCTCAGTTTTTTAAATGACCAACAAACACTTTGACCCTGAAACTCCATTTTTAGGACTTTACCCCACAGATACACCAGCCTGAGGGCTTCTGAGGTGTGTATAGGTCACTGTGTGGGTTGGCCCAGGCGCTGCCCCTCTCCACGGCTCCATGTGCCTGGAGCAGGGCGAGCAAGTAGCAGAGACAGACGCGAGAATGCAGGCAGGAAGCAGAGGCCACAGGACCTGGGCTGTGATGAGGGGCAGGGGTTCATCCTGGGCCAGCTGGGGAGCCAGAAAGCACTTCAACAGGGCATGGACTGAGAGGCCTCACCTCCTGTTCAATGGATGGATGATGGGTGGATGGACTGACAGACAGATAGAGGATGGATGGATGAATGAAAGAACGGATGGAGGATGAATAGATGGCTGGGTGGGTGAATGGATGGATGGATGATGGGTGAGTGGATGGATAGATGGGTAGATGGATGGACAGGAATATGGACGATGAATGGATGGGTGGGTGGATGGATGGAGGGTGAATGGATAGATGGGTGAGTGGATGGGTGGATGGATGCATGAATGGGTGGATG